GAACCCTTTCTCAGTAGTTCTTTAAATCGTTCTCATGTTTTATAAATAGATTCCCCTTCAAAATGAGAAAAAAATGTAATATCATTTCTAAACTTCCTAATTTTTTATGGTGGAAAATATTTAGCAAGGAATTTATACGCTAAATCACCCCAAGTTCTGATAGATCCAGATGCCAACGAATGCAACCATATCTTAGCCTTATCCCTTAGTGAGAAAGGAAAAAGTCTAATTCTTATAGCACCATATGATACACCATCATATTTAAATGTAGCACACAACTCTAGAAAAGTGTCAAGATGTAAATTTGGATCTTCAGTTGGTGGTCCCCCAAATTAATTATTTGATAGCATTTAGATAATAATGGGTTTAAGTTCAAATGAATTAGCCACTACAATAGGTTTTTGAATACTACAATGAAGTTCATCCACCGTAGGGTTTACATAATCTCTTAAGGGTCTAAACTCTTGATTAATTTCAGTATTTTAATTATTTTGGTTTGTCATTTCTTGAAATTTTTTATCTTTTTCAGTAATTTTGAGTTTTTTAATTTTTCTAATAGTTCTTTTTAATTCAGAGTCATAAGACACTAGTCCTATAGAATCTGAACTACACATACATTACTTCGAAACAACATAAAATAAAATAGAACACACAAACAAGAGCTTTATATAAAAACAACACTACAATATCCCTATAATAAATTTTAAATAAGACATTATAAAAATAGAAATTTGTTTTCTAAAAATCTCTTCAAAAATTTTATATTTTGTGCCCGACAACGACGCCAAAAACTTGATCCCGATTTTATATGTCAATACGATCTATGTAATTATATTCTTAATTTCTCCTTACTTAGAATTTTTACTTTACAAAGGCGTCAAAAACTTGATCACCAGCAACAGTTAGGCAAAAACTTGACTTCGAAGCAAATAAGATTACAATTTTTATATTTAAATATTGGATACTATGCAAGTATACGTATCATTATCAAGTAATATAATATTTTTTGATTAAACGCCGATAATCAAGCCCACAGGGACAAGTATGCAACTACAATCAGAAGAAGATAGATAACAAATTCTACTTGGCAAAATATTCTTACTCAAACAATAGATACAATAATAAGAATGAAAGTTTGATTCTTTTTGTAAATTTTTTATAATTGAAAGCAAAGTAGACAACTAAATAAACTTAACTAGATATTTGTAAGATGAAGACGATATATATGAAATATCTTTTTCCTTATCATGAATCAGTAACAAATATAGGAATTCTGTTGTGGAAGGTTGTGGAAGTATTCAAATTATAGGAATTCTGTTGTGGAAGTATTCAAATTATGTTGTGCCAAATAAGCTTTACCCTTACTAGAGATTTTACTAGAGATTCTATAAAGAACATTAACTAATTTAAAGTTTGAATAGTCTTGAAGACGGGTTAGATAGGGAAGATACTAGTTCTCACTCTAGAGTTCCCTTTCCTCCCTCCACCTAGGGGCTAACATCTCGTATCAAAACCTAAAACTATCAATCAAACTCAATAGATTGAATTGGTGGCTTTAGCTTGTCACTCTAAAGTCCTCTAATTCTACGCCCTTTAAAGTTTATTTCCCCATTTATTTGCATTCAATCATATGAATTACATTCTCATCCATACAATCTCATGTGATTTTTATCATTTGTTGACTGTGTTGACTGAGACAATACCATCTCTTACTATTTGTTGACTGCAAATCTTACATTTCAAATCTTACATTTCCTCACAACAGATATTAACATCTTAATTGGCCAAATCAAGAAGTAAATGAAGTACAAGGCTTAAAATCATCACAAATTATTCTGACATAAAAAATTAATACTTCACACAACTTCCATCCAATACTTAATCACTTATCATTTTAAGGAAAAAGATAAAAAAAACTACTCATATATTATGGAGAAAACACAACCATACTTATGTTTGAAAGTAGAATCATGCAAACAAACAAGAAGTCAAAATTAAAACCAAATGTAATGACAAAAATAATGTAATAACAAAAATAAAACTTATCTCAAATCCTCTCTAAAAAAATCTTGAAGTTCCTTTGAATTTCTTCCTTCACTTACAATACAAAAAAAACCACAAAAAAAAAAAATAAAAGGGGGCGGCAGCGTGTGGCTATGGGCGTCGACGGTGTGTGTGGGTGACTAGAAGGGGGTGGACAATCCATTAGTTCTTCAATCCAAGTCTTCTTTTAGAATTTTCCGAAATGTGTCTTGGTGTCTCTTCAAAATGTGTCCACATTCAATGAATCTTCCAGGAGTTGCCTCCTTTCAAAAGCCAGTTGAATGTATTTTTGTGTCCCTTAACTATTTCCCACTTTTTCACTAACGGTTGTTTCAAACACCTCTTCAAAAATTTGTCTAAATTCATTAAATCGCCAAATAACTATTTTTGACGCTTAAGCGCAGCCTTCTCTGTTTTATTGGAGCTTAAGCGCCATAGTTCTTTTGCACATCTTTTTCATTTTTGCTCCATATTTGATTCTTTTTCACTCATTTCTCCATTTTTCATCCATTTGAATTTGATACCTGAAAGAAAAAAAACACAAATACCTTTGATTAAAGCATAATATCTCAAAAATAGGTATAAAAATGTGTACATAAAGATCATATATTTTAGATGTATCACTGAACCATATCAACCAAGCTCAGCTGACTGAGTTGATCTTATCTGATCGAGTGGAGCTCAACTAACAGAGCTGATATTACCGATTCAATATTAATTCAGCTTTGCCTTCCAAGTCAGGATATCTTTTTATAAATAACGATAGATTACTATTCACTCATCTCTCTGTCTCTGTCTCTCTCTCGTTATTTAAGCTCTATTCTTGGGAATGATTCATAAAAAAATTAGGATTCAATAAGCTGTAAGCATTCAATCGATTTGGAATGAATAGGTTTTCAAATTGGTCACACTGATTGCAATTTGAAAAATCGAAAATATCAAATTTTTGAAAAAAATGAAGTCACCAACTAAAATTTAATTTGATTTAAATTATTTGATCATGAATAAATAGAAATTCAGTTGTTAGTTGGAGTTCTGTTATGAAGGAACATCAAGAATTATATATTTTATATGTACAATGTCTAATTAATTTCTCGAATCCTCCATTTACTTTCATATTTATGCTTTTTTCCTTTAAATAAGATTTAAAATCAAAGTAATAACCAAAAAAATCTAATATATAGATTTTTAATTGCATTGTGGTTTAAATCCAATTATTAGTTTTTCCATTGAAAGACTTTTTTACATTTGTAGCACTCAAAACATTAGAATTTATGTATTGAACACCTTAACTTTGATTTTTATTGTATAAAGCACTTGAGACTTATAAATGTACACATAATAAATACTCCATAACCGTCTGTTGCCTTGGTCACTTAGTGCCGCGCGGGAAGGCGACAAGTACCTAGGTGGCCACACACTTGATAGCTACGAGAAACTCACACTGTCGTTATCTGCTAACCCCACTGATCCACATGCTACACACACCTCAACAACAAAACTAGGCTTTGAAATGTATCTCTTGTCCTCCAACTTCCTTCTTGCCTCTAGTGTTTTTGAAACTCTGCAGCTCTTTTCTCTTCTTATTGTCTTTGTCCGCATCCATCGATAGTGAAAACGTCCTTGCTAGTGGTGTAGCAATAGGAGGAAAATTCTCCTTTATCAAAAAAAATGGAGAGCACTGCGATCGAAAAGGACCACAAGAATTTTCTCGCTATTTCCCACGATGAAGCAACAACCAAGTGGGACTCTAGGCATAGATCCATTTCACTAGAACTTGACGTAAAAAAAAAGCAGATTCTGACTATGGGAGGCGATGTTTCTCACTATAGCTCGTGTTGGCGAGTCAGTGGAAGAGGTCATTGGAGCATGGCAACTCCTCTACTTCAACCTCAACGACGTTTAGATTCATCACGCCAAAACAAAAAGTTGTAAAGAAGAAAAAAAAATGAAAACTTTAGTGAATAGAAGGCAAGGAATCAGAAAGAAGGATTCAAAAGAGGAAAGTTTTACTAGGGTTCAGTCGGTGATGTTGTAAAAGATGAGGAAAATTGTGCAGGCAGACACCTAGAGGCCATATATCATAAATGAGTGATTTTTTATGACGAAAGGGGTGAAATAACGAACATACCCGTGGTACCGACGTCGAAAAATCCTTAACTATCCCGTCCGTTGTGGTTTTGGTGCTACCCCTGAGGAAGCTAGAGAACCTATAGAGTGGTCAATCTAGTTTCAGAGATGATGGCGGTCATTACTGGTTTGAGATTGAAAGAGGACGAATCCCAACAAATTTCATGACCTTTAATCTTGCGATGAAGTATGCTTATGCGATTAATTTGATCATTTTATTAATGGAAGGTGACAAAATGTTATTTTTTTTTTTTGCATATTTATGAGTTTGAGATGCTTCATATATAAATATTGATGTTTAGATATAATAAACGTATATTCTGATATTTTGATTGCTATATAAAATTCCAAAAATTAAAATGGTTTCTTAAAATCAGACCGACTTAGCCAAAATCACTTTGACTCGTTCAATTTTTCAATTTTGACGAAATACTGGACACTATCGACCCTACACAAAATACAGCTCATTTTATTCGCGCAGAGTCAGTCTGCATGGGGGAAGGGAAAATATTTGGGTACGTAAGACTTACGCAAAGTTGCTCATCTCAGCAGATTACTCAGAAGATATATGAATGTTATATTCGAGTTATATCCCTTCTATAACTTTCTTATAACATAACTATAATCTATAAATAAATTCAATGCTCCCGTAACATAACATAAAAATGTGAGTAAGTTCAAGTAGTTACAAGTACAAAAGGGGGCGGTTCACAGTTGGAATTCTGCGTCTCTATCGACGATGTCGGCTCCTGGTACGTCTTTCGGCTTTCTCGTTTGCTCTCACCTGGAACGTTTAAGTTTAGGGTTTTTGGCGGAACAGACACAGTGATGAAGGACGGCTTTTTCTAGAGTATCAAAACAGGCGGACCTATCGTCCGCGGATTGGAAATAAACATAGTTTGGTTATAATTGTGGGGAATCGGCCCTATATTTAGTTCTTTAGTGCTACATGAAACAGGCCAGTTAAGTGTTCCCCCATAAAATGAATAAAGAATGCGGAAAATCTGAAGCACCATTCAAGAAGAAGTAAATGCAAACATAATCACATTGACGATGAATTGTCTCATTTTTCCAGTTTGTTAAGCTCTGTATTTGATTACTTGTTCAGCATCATCGGATTGACTTATCGTACTGTTACCCAACCTTTATGTTTCTAGTTATTATGGTAATAAACTAGCAGCTGCTTAGCATGCTAACCATTGCTATTTCACATGCTGCAGATTCATTGAAATTGCCTGGTTATTCACTCCAGGATATATTGCTGGTGACTAGCATCACAGTAGGTTAAATCTTCAAAAGAAGTGAATATAGGCAAAATTATTTATGCGTTCGCTCATGTACTAGATATGTACTCACCAATAATACTCATTGAGAGTTGCATGTCTAGAGGACTGTCCAACTGTATATTAAGTTATTCAATGTGTATTTATAGTGGGCATTATGCAATATTTATATACTGGGAACTGTTCAAGTTATTGTTGCTTGGTAGGAAATTTGAGAAGGTGGTGTAGCTTGCTTATTTTGAAGTGGAAGAAGAGGTGATTTTCTTGGTGTCACAATCCGGCCTGATAGCTTAGATTTAACAAAGTTAAGAACTACAGTATGATGATATTAACATTTTATTTATTTTTTAGTTATTTTCATAACTTCTAATTTATACTAGAGTCATTAAGAAATCACAAATTAGACTAAATAGAAATTTAAATCATCCATAAACAATCACATAGTCTGTAAGTAAAACATCGAAATCAACACACAACAGTATCACTACACAGAAGTAAACAATACAATAGCCATTAGAACAACATAATATCGATCAGAAGTAGTCTTGTAAATTAAATCTCTTCTATCATATATGTCAACATAGTAGTTTACTTAAACGAAAAAATTAGTTTAAACAGTAACTTTACACGACTTAGCGAATAATTTCAACCTTATTATACATTAAATTAATATGCAAATGCTATGCGTGAATGATAAAATAATGCCATTCATTACTTAATAATATTGTAAGCTTTTATTTTAACTTTAATTATTTCTGTTTCAATTTAAATATTTACCATTTTTATCATCTTTAAGAAGTCATCATGATTATCTTAATACCTGAAGGTATCATCAAAATTGTACCCCGTATGTATCAGCAAAATTTTGCATTCGAAGGTACATCTTCACCATTTTCATTTTCCTTTTCATGCACGGGTACATCTCATCTCATGCCAGTACCATCTGGAGGTAATCTTGAATAATCTAAGCTTTCAATTTCATTTCCTTTAAGTTACTTCCTTTTAAAGACATTGAAGAATTATATTTTTATTTCATTTCTTTCAATAATTTCTAATCCTATAACATTCATATAATTATAAAAATAGTTGTCTGAAGTATCAAGATAAGTCTTTATCTACTAAAACATCAATTTAATATATATAAGAAAGTAATTACTCACCTTTGCCTTAAATGATGTCTTTATTATCTTAATTCTATGATTACTTCCTCACCTCCTCCTTGACTCTTCTTCTTTTGCCCAAATCATGATCCAAAGCCCTAATTCAATGAATCAAATTTTCTTTAATCACCATTTAAATTTAAATCATACTTAATAGCATCTATTTAATTAAACAAAATATTTTATATAAATAAACATCCAAATTCTTACCTCCACTAAAGTTACTTCTTCTAAAATTTCAATCCAAGATCCTTCATCTTTTACTTAAATACATCAAAAAATCCAAGATCCTATATTGAAATTAACCATAAACATAACTTAATTGTTTCTTTATCTTTTGCACAAATATTGATCTTAATCTTTCTCCAAATCGGGACTTAATAGCTTCGTTCTTGATTTCAATTGCACTTAAAATAAATATTTTAATAATAAACTTAAATATATATAATCTTAAAAGTGAGGCTCTTATATATATTTAATGATTAGGCCGTGGCAAAAGTGGTATCAGAGCCCAATGTTTAATATTAATTAATTGAGTACCGATAAAAGAGTCATAGAAAAATTATAAGAAAATTTTAATAATAAAAAATAAAATTTATAGTTGACTCAAATTAATAAGTATATCCATTTAGACATAGAGCTACAACCGAAATTATAGAAGAAGGGAGCCTAATAGAAAATGCTTGAAGAGTTGAGACATGCAGTTTAACGGCTCAATTCAGTTACATGGGGAGAGGAAACAAAGATAGCCTAGAGGATTCAAAGAGTTAAGTAGTTGGAAAAGGAAATGAAGAATCGAGAAAGAGGAAAAGAGAGGTCGGGAGAATGAATGAAAGGGTAGAAGAAGCGAGAAGTGTTAGGAAGCCAAGGAGGTGAAATTTCACACTATAAATTGTCGGACGACTTACCTTCCTACCGGGCGGCTTGTCTGTGGTGAAGGATGACGAGAGGGAGGAGTTTTTGTGTGCGTAGAGGAGATGAGACCAATGTTCGAAGAAGGATAAAAGAGTCAGCCGCTACTTCTGATCGTGCGAAGAAGGATGAAATCAAGCACTCAGAGGTAAGTATGATAGGTTTAATATTAGATTGAATTGAAAATAAATGGTCTCATGTAAAGTAAAATAATAATAATTTTTAGCTAATTAAAATAATTTTAATTTATTAAACTTATAATAACATAATCAATAAAATAATTTTTTAATATATATACATGTTTATTTTGGGAGTTTCATTTTAGTTGAGTCGACGTCGGGGCAAAATCTTATCGAATTGATCGACATCTAGGTAAATACTCGTACTTTTAAACTATAACAATAATTTGTTTCTTCTAAAATATTTTTGTATGTGATATATTTGTGGATGCTTTGTTGTGATTGTGCCGTTCTTTTCTTTATTGGTCATATTATTGTGAATTTTGTATTTATTTACTCATACATTTTAGTGTATGTTTTATATAGTATGATTAAATATGATGAACCCATATATTTATGTTGGTTGCTTGTATGACTGACTATGATGGAATAACCCTTGATGGTACTAGTGGGGAACACTAATGTACGCGTGCATATTAATAAAATGATATTATTATTGATGTGTCTTAATTGACACAATTTTAGACGTTGCCTCTTATGATGGTTGCATATATGTAAAATGATATTGATATGATAATGATATAGACCCATTTGAACAACATGTCAAATGTTTATATTGATTCATACATAAACTTAACTGACATGCATATTGTTCTTTATTTTTGTTGTATTGTTGAGTTTAGAAGTATGAGTATTCAATGTGTTTTTAGCCCACAATTGTTTTAATTAATTTTTCGAGTTTAATTAAATTTTTAAAAGATGAGCAATAGACGAGAAAATATTTATAAAGACGCGGACAACCATCAACGAAGTAATTATAATTTATATCATTTTAATATAATTTTTAGTGGCTCTTTCATATGTCAAATTGTGAGTTAATATAGAAAACTTAATTCACCCGTTCAACTGTCAGTTCCCGCCATAGTTAATTCCAAGCCCCGGGTCGGGTCATGCCATTAATGTCTAGATTTAGTGACTGGGAGGGAGGTGTAATGAAGAATCAAAGAAGAATTGATGAGTTGTGAGAAACAAAATGAGGAGTCGGGAGGTCAAAGAGAGGGGAGGTAAAGCGGAAGGATCAAGACGCCGAGTAGATGAAATTCGCTTATAAATCATGACAAAAGACCTAACTGGGAGTCTAGTCGAAGAGGAAGACGAAGAAAGAGTTCTGTCGAGCTTCAGTGGCTAAATAACCCGCATCCTAACGTACCAACTAAGATGAAGAAGAGATAAACAATCATCGTAGAGGAGGAGAAGAGGGGTGACGTCGGTGCCGAGCTGTGATTGAGGAAGTTGCTGTAGCTCCATTGGTACTATCAAACAGGCGAAGACGCCCGTGAGAGAGAGAACCGAAGCCAGCTTGTGTGTGATCTAGATCTCGCAGAGAAGAGGAGCCAAAGTTGTTGAAGGAGGAAGTCTCTCCGTGTGCTTCTCTGCGTCGAACCGAGTGATCGATGAAGGAGGAAGAGGAGCTCTCAACCTAGCCCTAGCATGCGAAGGAAGAAGAAAGTCATACGGGTGATGAACCGAGTCGAGCCTTTGGTAAGGTAAGAATATTAAGTTTTATATATATATATATATATATAAATATTATTATAATAATAAAATCAAAGATTTATTTGAAATATGGAAATAAAATTTTCACTTGAGCGAACATTTATCGAATATTGAATAAAATCATTAATGTCGATTTAATTGAAGTTTTGATAGTCAAATTAAAATAACATAAATACTTAAACTGAAAATTCTAATCAAGAATTAAAGTTATATAAGTAGTTAATAAATTAATTAAACATAATTAATGATATGCTTAAGATTATAATTTTATGATATTTTAAGCAGCTAACTGTTAGAGACAAAGATTAAACATCTTTGAAACAAGTACAACATCATGGTGAGTATTTTTTACTTCTAAATTATGGTAATAATACTGTATTTTTTTTTTAAACCACTCGCTTTAGAAATTATATATCTTGTTACTGTAACTAGAATAAGATTATTCTAGCTTATTATTCAATTTGATCATTTAGAAATGAATGTGACTGATTTGCATAGTATTGCTTTTAACCACACATGCATGTTATACGATATTGGATTGATATTTATAATGTAAACAAAATGATTTATAGTATGCTTGCATGTGCATGTTTTGTTATAATAGAACACTCTTTGATGATACCAGTGAGGGAACATTAATCTACTCGTGTACGTAAATGGAAAATGATATTAATATTGATGTGTTTTAATTGACATAATTTTTAGACGATGCCTTCTGTGACAGTTGTATAGATATTAAATTATATTGATATGATGATGATATGTACCCCTTTAAATAGCATGTTAAATGTTTATATTGATTTATAAAGAAGTTTAACTGACATGCGTACTATTCTTTCTTTTTCTTGTATTACTTTAGTTTATAGTATGAGTATTCACTTACTCGTTTAGCTTACAACTATTTTAACTAACTTTTCAGATAAATTTTAAGTAATTAAAAGATAATCAGTAGAAGAGAAAATATTTATAGAAGACGAGGACAACCATCGATGAGGTAATTATAAATTATACCACTTTAATTTAATTTTGGCTTCTTCATCTGTTAAATTGTGAGTTAATATAGAAAATTTAATTCACTCTTTTGACCGTCCATTCCCGCCTTGGTTAATTCTAAGTCCTGGGTCGGGTCGTAACAGTAATGTCCATTCCCGCCTTGGTTAATCCTAGTTCCCAGGTTCCCCTAACAGATCACTACTCTATTCCCCACCCTCCCTTTTAATTCCTCTATCTACAGAAATTCCAGGATTTTCTTGACTTTAACTTCAAGTTACATAATTATCCATCTTGTCTTTATGGCTCTGGGCCAAGTGTTAGACTCATTGTAATCCTAGCTAAAGCCGTCCCTACCATCACCCTCCAGAAGCAATACCAATCCAATGCCAACCTTCAATTTCCTTTAACAACCAACCTACATGTCATTGTAAATATTACTTTTATCTTCTTGCAAAAATATCTTTTGACCAACAGCCCCCATTAGAGAGAGCAGGAAGAACATTATTGAGTAGTTGGCGAAGTCAATAAGCAGGTTAGTGTGGTTGGTTGCACAAGCGAGGATGAGACTGACAATCAAGTTCAAGTGGGTGCATGTGATAATGGATGCAACAATAGGAGGCATATGAGTGAGTCGCAACGATGCTTGAGAGAGTAGGCAACTAGCAATGAAAGGCAGTGACAATGTGATTAAGCATCATGCAATAATATAGGATGTGCTAGGTGGGTAACGAGTGACTGTGTGCACGAATATTCTCAATAAAGTCATGCATGTGACTGCAAAAATGAACAAGAGGTTTGTGCATGTGAGTGAGGGTGGCTAGGGTGTGGGATGGGACTTGTGGTGGGACCAGAGACGGGTCAGTTTTGTGCATGTCTAGAGTTTTTCTTCTTGGATTTCATGATGATAGGAAACAAAAATCTTCTCATCTTTTTGACTTGTATGAAAACTTATTAGGAGCAATGCCAAATTACGAGGATAAAATTCAATATAATATTTTTTCAATGTTAGGGTTCCTACTTAATAAAACAATGCTACTAAATACGTCAGTTCCAAAAAAGGAGATTTCTCTTTGCTTAGTAAGCCTTTGTTTAATTGTTTTTGCTATTTCAAGTCGGGTTCTGAACTTAACGAACCTGGCATTAAATTTTAATTGGCCGAGAAGTCATCAGATTCAAATTTCTATTCTTGAGCAGGCTTAGACTTTTGCATCTTTACTTGATTTGACTAGAATCCCATTTTACTAGTGTATTTATTTACTTCAAATCTTGAAGCTGTAAATATTATTCTCCATTTTCCCTAAGGTTTACGTGTTAATGAGTTTCCCTATTTAATACATTCTTTTTCTTGTTGTCATGAATAAAATGAGAATAAATTTATCTATCTTTCTCAGGAGTGTCTGAGCAAAGGGTTGAAATTTTAAACAACTATGGACAGAAACTTGTTGGTATGCTGCATTTAACAAGTTCCAAGAATTTGGTCATCTTATGCCATGGATTTCGCTCCACAAAGGTTTGTTTGTTGGAGAATATGTTCGTTTATTGGAATACTTCATGGCATTTATGTGTTACACCATGCATATAACCTTCTATTTCATGTGATGTTGTTCCCCCTAGCTATATAATGAAAACAGGCTTAATTTGATTTTTATTTGTGCTCTTAATGTACGTACAACTTCATTTCAATTACGATAGATGTTTTCACAAATAGGAAATGTGCTCTATTCTAAACGTTTTGGAGATGCATTTGCACATTTGGCAGATAGAGAAAGCACATTCCTTTATTAGGATGGAGGAAAAAAATTATTTGAATAATTAGACTAAGCATAGAAATTTCTTGACATGTTTAACTTATTCTGAGAAGTTATTCACAGCAAAACGAATTGGAAGTGGACTAGAATCTAGATTTAACAAAATTGGATGGTTTGTGGCTTAGTGCATTTCCCATCAGAGATAATACTTGCTAAAAAACTGTTATTATTGCATGTGAACTGTGCTATGTTTCCTGGATATCTAGTTTCCTCCAATTTAGGGGCTTACAACAGGCAGTTTATGTTGAATGCTCCCATATCCTTGATTATTTTATTTCCGCTTTATGTTGATTACTTTTTTTTTTCATCATTTTCCTCTCGCCCACTCTCCCTCCTGTTTGTCCACTCATTCTTCCCATCTCCTTCCATACACGGTGCACACTTTTGAAAATGTTCCTCTTACCATATACATTTCCGTAGATATTGTATTTGCATGCAAAATCTTGGTTCCCATTTAGATAACTTAGAATGGATCTCTTTTAAGCCCTCCTAACCTTATTTCCTTGCATTTTAAAAGTTGATGGATTAAATATTGTAAGATGAGATCTTTATCAAATAAATTGGTCAGAGGTCCTCAAAGTTATGGTTCGGGATCATTTACAAATATTCCTTGGTTGAATTAATATATAATATAGATGATTTTTTTTTAATTTGAGCATTTAACTTATAATAATTGGTTCTCTCATTTGATTTCCCTTTTTAAGGACTCTTCATGTTTAAATTGTTAGTTAAAGTAGTATTAGTTGGTTTTCTTTAAGGCCCTTTGATGCAGCACGACCCTACAAATAGGCTAAATCGGTTCACAAATGCTCAACTAGAAGCCTAAACGACTAGAATCCCCTATGAAGGCTAAATCGGTTCACAAAGTCCGAATGATCAGAAGTCCAGATGACCATAGGTTTAGATGACTAGGAGCCTAAACGACTAGAAGTCCAGATTAACAAAAGTTCGGACGACCAGAAGTCCAGATGAAGGCAAGCCAGGATAGATCCTCTAATCGTCAATGCCAACAGAGAGCCGACCTAAAGGCCTTAGGAGAGCATTTTGGAGTCAGTGAAATAGACCGCAAAAGATCCAAAGTCATGTGAGTTTCAATTAATGAATCATTGCGATCACTTTTTTTTTGTATTAAAATTCTCTCATTTTTATTGCAACTTCGCTTTCAAGAGGCAAGAGAATTGTTAAACTAAACATGTATACATAAGATGTGTCAGACTGAATCTCTTAGAGGGACAACTAGAAGCCCGGACGACCAAAAGCCCAAAAGAACAAAATTTTAGACGTCTGACAGCTCGGACGAGCTTGAAAATAGTGAGACATCAGCTCACTTATGTAAAATGACCAAAATAACTTGTATTTATATATAAATAGTGAGACACTAGCTCACATATGTAAAAAAACCAAAATAACTTGTATATATATATACATACATACATATATATATATATATATATAT